CTTTTACCAGTGAGTTTTATGCTTTGATATGTTTTCATGTTATTAATTACCATATTTTTCTTTCAGCTTGAAGAATTCCCTTTAGCATCATGTAAGATAGGCCTGGTGGTGATGAACTCCCTCAGCTTTTGTTTGTCTAGGAACGTCTTGTATCTCTTCTTTGTTTCTGAAGGACAGTTTTGCTGGGTACAATATTTTTAGTTGGCAGGGGTTTTTTGTCCTTTAGCATTTTTTTTTTTTTGAGACACAGTTTCACTATGTTGCCCTAGGTAGAGTGTCGCAGCATCACAGCTCACAGCAACCTCTAGCTCTTGGGCTTAAGCAATTCTCCCACCTTAGCCTCCCAAGGTGCCCACCACAACACCCAGCTATTTTTTGTTGCAGTTGTCATTGTTGGTTAGATGGCCTGGGCCAGGTTTGAACCTACCACCCTTGGTGCATGTGCATGTGGCCAGTGCTGTAACCACTGTGCTATGGTCCCCGAGCCAGCATTTTTTTTTTTTTTAAACAGAGTCTCGCTTTGTCACCCTTGGTAGAGTGCTATGGCATCATAGCTCATGGTAACCTCAAACTCCTGGGCTCAAGCTATCCTCTTGCCTTAGTCTCTGGAGTAGCTGGGACTACAGGCACCTGCCACAATGCCCCACTATTTTTCAAGATGAAGTCTCACTCTTGCTCAGGCTGATCTCAAACTCCTGAGCTCAGGCAATCTACCCAACCTCGGCCTCCCAGAGTGCTAGGATTATAGACCTGAGCCAGTGCACCCGACCCGCAGCATTTTGAATATATTATTCCACTCTCTCTTGATCTGTAAGGCCTCTGCTTGGAAGTCTGCTACTAGCCTTATTGGACTTTTTTTATATGATATTTGATTATTTTCTCTTACTGCTTTCAGGATCTTCTCTTTGTCTTTGACTGTTGGCAATTTGCTTATATGTCTTTGGGTAGTTTTGTTTGGATGGAATCCGGAGACCTTTACTCTTCCTATACCTGGATATTTATATCTTGCTTCAAATTTGGAAAATTTTTGCTATTAATTCTTTAAATAATCTTTATACCCTGGGCTGGGTGTGGTGGCTCACACCTGTAATCCTAGCATTCTTAGAGGCCAAGGTGGGTAGATTGCCTAAGCTCACAGTTTTAAGACCAACCTGATCCAGAGCAAGGTCCTGTCTCTAAAAATAGCCAGGCATTGTGACTGGTGCCTGTAGTCCCAGCTACTTGGGAGGCTGAAGCAAGAAAAATCACTTGAGCCCAAGAGTTTGAGCTTGCCATGAGCTATGATGCCAGGGACTCTACCAAGGGCAACAAACTGAGACTCTGTCTCCAAAAACAATAATAATAATCTTTATACCCTTTTGTTTTTCTCTTCTCCTTGACAGACTCCTATAACCAAAACATTTGCTCTTTTGATGCTCTCACATAAATCTCATAAGCTTTCTTCATTCATTCATTCTTTTTTCCCCCTCTTACTATATATTTAAAAACAGTGTATCTTAGGCTGTTTCCACATTTTGGTGATTGTAAATTGAGCTGCAGTCTAGTATAGCCTGAATGTCCAGCAGCTCAAGAATGGATTAACAAGCTGTGGTATTTGTATACCATGGAATACTACTCAGCCACTAAAAAAGAGAGTCTTCACATCCTTTGTATTAACCTGGATGGATGTGGAACACATTACTCTTAGCAAAGCATCACAAGAATGGAGAAATAAGAATCCTATGTACTCAATTCTGATATGAGGACAATTAAGGTCCTAGTACACAGTCAGGGGGGATGGGGAGAGCTGAGAAAGGGAAGGAGAGAGGGCAGAGGGGGGTCAAGGGATAGGGTAAACCTTTTGGGGGTGGGACACAAATATAAGAGAGTCCTTATACAACAAAAGCAATCATTGTAACCTGCTTCTGTGTACCCTCAACAAATCCCCAACAATAAAAAGAAAAATAGCATATCTTTAAATTCACAGATTCTTGTGCTTGATCAGTTCTCCTAGTGATGCTCTCTACTGCATTTTTCATTTATTTCATTATATTTCATAATGTATATTTGTTTTTTAAAGAATAATTTAATCTCTATTAGCTTTCTAATTTTGGTCATCTTTTTGTTTATTTCATTGAATTGTTTCTCTGCTTTTTTGTTTTGAAATTCATTGAGATTCTTTATTTTTCTATTTTTTATTATATCATAACTTTGTACATTGATGCATTTATGGGGTTCAGAATACTGCTTCAGTATACAATGTGAAATGCTTACATTGAACTAAGTAACACATCCATCACAATTATTCTCATTTCTTAATAGTTTTGAAATGTACCATTGCATCATGCACATTAGGTGAGGTCCCCCCATATTCCCCCTCCCCTTCCCTCTCTCTCCTCTTCCCTTCTACTTCATTGAGGTTCTTTAAAGTAATTATTTTTAATTCTTTGTCAGAAAATTTGTATAGGGGTCAGTTACTAAGAAATTGTGTACTTTTTATGGTGTCATGTCTCCTTGATTTTTTATGTTTCTCATTGCTTTACACTGATGTCTGCACATTTAAAGAAGTAAGGACTTACTCCACTCTTTTCAGACTGGTTTTGTCTGGGAAAGCCCTTCACTAGTCAGCCCATCTGGAAATTCTGGGCAGCCTGTGTGACATGGGTTGGCTTGCTGCTGGAGTCCTTGAGCAGGCTGGCCCGGTGCCTAGGTCAGCAAATGTGTGGGTTTGGTCCTTGGGTACTCAGGGTTAGAATCCACTTGGGTAGACCCATTGATTTGGTTTTGAGGGATGGCCTGGAGCCTGTATCCATTGTGACCAGTCTGAAGCCTAGGTACACATGGGCAGACCTGGGGCTGCCCTTGGGTACTCAGGGTTAGAATTCATTTGGGTAGACCCATTCATTTGGTTTTGAGGGCTAGCCTGGAGCCTATATCCACTGTGACCAGTCTGAAGCCTAGGTACACATGGGCAGACCTGGGGCTGAGATAAATGTTGAGCCTGAGTCTATAGAGGCTAGCCAAGCACTGAATGGGTCTGGCATGTAGGTCCACTGGGATGGGCCTAGAGCCTGAGTCTCTGGAGGCTGGTTTGGCACTAGATGGGCTTGATGCCTGGGACAACTGGGATGGACCTGTAACTTCAGCCCAAAAGGTCTATTCTGGCACCACGATCTACTAGGGAGGGCCTTGACCCTGGGTTTTCTCGGGTAGGCCTGGGTCCTGGGTCCTCTGGAGCCTGGGGTCACAGAGACAGGTCTGGAGCCTAGTGTTTAGACCAGTGTGGAGCCTGGGGCTACAGGATCTAGTTTGGAGCTTAGGATTACAGTTGCTGGTTGAGTGCATTTCTTAGGATTGCCTGCTTGCTGTAAAATACAAAATATCAAGGCTGAATTTTAAGGTACTGTGTTGTTTTCATTACTGGTACCCTAAATCTGCAGTCTACCCCACCCCACCCCTGCCTAGCCACAAACTGGTACTGGTATGTGGTCTGTTAGGAGCTAAGTTGCACAGCAGGAAATGAGCAGCAGCAAGCAAGCAAATATTCATTTATTGTTACAGCCATTCTCCATTGCTCACATCACTGCCTGAGCTTTACCTCCTATTAGATAAGTAGCAGCATTAGATTCTCATAGAAGCTTGAACCCTAATGTAAACTGTATGTACAAGGGATGTAGGTTGAGCACTTCTTATGAGAATCTAATGCCTGGTGATCTGAAGTGCAACACTGGAGAGCAATTGCAAATAAAAGATGGGACTATCGGCTCGGCGCCTATGGCTCAAGTGGCTAAGGCGCCAGCCACATACGCCTAAGGTGGCGGGTTCGAATCCCCAGCCCTGGCCCGCCAAATAACAATGATGGCTACAACCAAAAAATGGCCAGGCGCTGTGGCGGGCGCCTGTAGTCCCAGCTACTTGGGAGGCTGAGGCATGAGACTCGCTTAAGCCCAGGAGTTGGAGGTTGCTGTGAGTGTGATGCCATGGCACTCTACCCAGGGGGATAGCTTGAGGCTCTGTCTCAAAAAAAAAAAACAAAAAAAACAAAAAAAAGATGGGACTATCTAGTTGCAGGAAAACAAGCTCAAGGCTCCCACTAATTCTGCATTATGGTGAGTTGTGTAATTATTTCATTATATATTACAATGTAATAATAATAGAAATAAAGTACACAATAAATGTAATGCACTTAAATTATCCTGAAGCCACCATTTCCCCACTCTGATCTGTGGAAAAGTTGTCTTCCATGAAATTCGTCCCTGGTGCCTAAAAGGTTAGGGACTGCTGCTTTAAATCAGCCTATGAAGTTACTGGTGCCCCTATAAGGATTCTTTAAGAATGGTATTGTCTGTTTAGATTTACCATACTAAAGAAATAACTCTTGCCATATCTGACATTAGAAACATACTTAGTATGTACATATTAAATTGCATACTTGAATAAAAAACTTTTTTTTGAGACAGAGTCTTACTTTGTCGTCCTTGGTAGAGTGCTATGGCATCATAGCTCACAGCAACCTCAAAATATTAGGCTCAAAGCTATTCTCTTGCCTCAGTCTCCCTGGTGGCTGAGGCTACAGGCACTTACCACAACACCCAGCTATTTTTTAGAGACCAGGATCTCACTCTTGCTCAGGCACTTCTCAAACTTGTGAACTTAGGCAGTCCACCCACCTCAGCCTCCCAGAGTGCTAGGATTATAAAAAACTATTGTTATATCCCCAGAAGCACTCAAATTTGATGTGGCATTTGAAATAATATATAGTTGAGGAACGAAAATGGTACCTCTAACTACAGTAGAATCTCTATAGTTGACCTCATTCCTACATTGACCACCTCCTTAAGTTGACCCAGTTTTCATAGACCAGACATGTACCACATATACCCATCAGTACAATAGGCCTAGTTGCTTATGTTGACCACTTCCGTGTGTTGACCAGTTTGTTACAGTCCCTTGCGTGGTCAACTCATAGAGGTTCTACCATATTAATGTGATGTATTGTCTTCCATCTATTTTATTCATAGATGCCATTTGGAATGAACAGGAAAAGGCTGAACTTTTTACAGATAATTTTTGTCAAGTTTGTGGAGTGGTTTTACAGTTTGAATCACAAAGGATTTCACATTATGAGGTAGGTTAAAAATAATGGAAAAGGGTCTAAGGCAAGTAGTAGTAAGTAAACTTCCTATTAGTCATGTTATTTGATTCTTAAGTGAAATAGGCGATATTCTTTCTCTTTGACGAATGAGAACAGTGGATCAAAGAGGGACAGTAACGTACTGCCTCAAGTTTGGAGAATTCATACTTAGAATCTCAGACTGACTCCAAAGCTTCTTTTCTTCACACCATTATGCCTCTTTTTGTACTTATCAAGCCACTATACCATTCATCCTTATAGTAAGTATAAGGGAGAGATTATGAACCTTGTGTAGGAAATTATAGGGTGTTCCAAAGGTTGTCATAAATAGGAAAAATCAATAAACTTCTTTATATTTTGTATTTTTAATATTTATATATCAATACAGAAATATTTTGTAAAATTTTGCAATGAATATATTGTAAATAAAAGTACATTTAGGTACAATCTTTCCATATTCCCCATGTATGTATGGCAACCTTTAGGATATCCTGTATTAATGTGAATCAAGTGATATTATAACTCTCAGTCTTACTTTACAGGAAATGAAGACTATAAAAACAAAACAAACCAGTCTTAAACTTGACTTCACGTGTTTTTAGGCATAGAACCATAGAATTCTAGACCTAAAAGACAGAATGTTTAATGTCTTTACTCTTACTTTATAGATTCGAAAATTAAGACCCAGAGGGCTAGTAATTCTCCACAGCTAGCTATTGGCATGACTAAGCCTAAAAATTATTTTTTTCTGACTTCATTGGCATTACCTCACATTTCAAAATCATCTGATCAGCTGCTGGATTTCTTTCAGATCTGGTATCTTGGTTACCAAAAGTACTAGATTCATACACTTTAAACAAATGTAATGCCAATTCTACTTTTTAAAGCACTTCATCTAGTTTTGTCCATTGTTTATCTCATTGGCAGTTATATTTTAGTCCTTACATTGATTGGAATTAAATTACTGTAATTACATGATAGATATACTTTACAATTTAAAATTCTGCAGAGAGAGTGATTGACTCACATTATGCATTCGGGAAATGTTAGTTTTCCTTCTCCCTATTCGGCCTATACCAACAGCTTGGTTATTTTATGTACTTTGTTATAAATTTGTTCAGAAATTTCTAATTTGACTTAGTCCCAAAGGGTTTATTTTCTCATATGAAGTAGTTTGAAAGGTAAGCAGTACAGGGCTGATATAAAAGTTCTGTGACATCATCAGGGACCTAAGTATTTTCTACCTTTCTACTCTGATGAACTGGCTTTATTCTTCAAGGTCCCCCAGGGTCCAAGATGGCCGTTGATGGTCCTTTGCATCTTAATTCCAGAAGCAAGAAGGAAGAAGGATAAAAGAAGGGTTTATCCCCTAGCCTTTTAGGGAGGCTTCTCATAAGTTCTGTATAATACTTCAAATTACTTCTTATGAGCCAAAATCTAGTCACATGGCTACATCTTGCTGAAAGGAAGGCTGAAAAATGTCTTAAGATTTGTAACTAAGGAGAAAGGCATGTGACATTGGGTAACAGCTAGAAGTCTCTGTCAGAAACAAGAATCTAAAGATTATTGTTTCTAAAATGTAGCATTACTTTCATTTTAACTAAAATTTAGAGATTTGAAATGTGTGATGCTCTTTCATAAACTTGGTACAGACTAACTGTATTAAAACACATGAGTGCTGGGCAGTGCCTGTGGCTCAGTGGGTAGGGTACTGGCGCCATATACGGAGGGTGGCGGGTTCAAACCCAGCCCCAGCCAAAATGCAACAAAAAATAGCTGGGCGTTGTGGCGGGTGCCTGTAGTCCCAGCTACTCGGGAGGCTGAGGCCAAAGAATTGCCTAAGCCCAGGAGTTGGAGGTTGCTGTGAGCTGTGATGCCATGCCCCTCTACCAAGGGTGATAAAGTGAGACTCTGTCTCTAAAACAAAACAAAACAAAACACGTGAGTGCTGTCCTTAAATTCAGAGAGGTGTAAACTTCAGGTGAGCCTGTTATTGAATAAACAAAGTCATTATATCTTTTTTCAGAGTGAACAACATGCTCAAAATGTTAGTTTTTATTTCCATATGCGTGGGGAACAAAATGAAGTGCCTGGTAAGAGAATGAAGATGTATGTTGGGAATTTTCAGGTGAGTGTTCTATGCTGATGTTTTAATTCTAAACTTTGAGTTGTCTAATTTTCCTAACAAAATTTTGCTTATTGCAGGTGCAGAGGAATGAAGTAGTGGACAAAAACAAATTTTGTGATCTCTGCAACATGATTTTTAGCTCCCCAGTTGTTGCTCAGTCTCATTATATGGGGAAGGTCCATGCTAAAAAACTGAAGCAATTAATGGAAGAACATGATCAGGTATCTCCTTCAGGATTTCAGCCAGAAATGGGTAAGGTTACACTCACCTCTTTATCTTCAATACAGGATCCACCTATTATTTTTTTGCAACTCTGCCATACTTTTTTTTTTTTTAAATTGAGGACACTTTTATTCATGTTGAAATAACTTGATTATTATTTTTCTGCCCAGTTAATCTCTTTGTCTTTGTCATTTAATGGAGATGATACTTGTTAGCTGAATTTTAAGACATGTTAGGACTTCTTCCTTTCAGTGACTGGTTTTACTAGCTACGAAGAAACAATGAGCAGCTGGAGCTTTGTCAGTTTCTTATCAAATCATAAAATCTTAGCTCCTTTTTACATCTCTTTTCATTGATTTCATATTTTCTAAATTATCATCACATAAGTGTGTTCTGATCAATATTTTCACCATAAAATAGTTATGGATGCTGTGTTTCCTGACTGCTAAGTGTAGGCAGGAATAAATAAATGTATGTTACTGAATTTCCTTCTACTCTGACAGCCTATTCCTTTCTTCCTATGAATATGAAGAAAAACGTACCACTAGCATCATCAATTAGTAGTTATTAATTGCATATTTTATTTCTAACCCTAAAGATACAGAGAATTACAAAATAATTGCCTCTTTCCTCTTTCTAGTGATGTTGGGCCACCAGTCATATGGGCCATCTGAATCAAAGCTGAAATAGCAGAGTACATCCTGGAAAATACAACTCATATTTATAAAAACTTGTATGATAAAACAATATTAAAAGATTGATTAATCCTCTGGAAAAAATAATTTATCACATGCCTAACATGGAAAATTCACCAACGTTTATTTCTAATTCATAGTGTAGGCATTACTCAGCAAAGCCAGTGACAAAAAAAAATTATTAAAACTTTCTATTTTCTCAAAAAATAAAACCAGAATCATTTTTTAAAATTTACTCTGGTCTCTAATTCTTGTATGTTTGTTTTTCTGCCTGACATTCTAGAGAAAGAATCAGTTTGCTCTATAAAAGAAAGCATCTTGTATTAATAAAAGCCTTACCTTCAGACTCCAAATTCATAATTTGGGCTTAAAGAGAAGAGTAAATGAAAAGGTTATGAAATAAGTGAAATTTTAGGAGCATGTATAGTTTTATAGTCTTAAACAACTGCATAGATTTTGTTCTGATGCAAATATTACAAATCTAGATTAAAGAGATACCCTCCCGCATTAATCAAGAAATCACCAACTTGGAAGTTGGTACCATCTGTTTTACCCTCACTGATTTCAAAGAATCATCCTAAGATGGCTCTTGTGCTTTCATTGATTCTTCAAATGAATATAATTAGGCAGTTCCTGATGCAGAACATTCCTTCCTTTCTGTGTCTTTGTTGGAGAAACTTGGTGACAGATTCATGTTCAAATTTCCATTTTCACAGAAGGAAATTCCTTTTGTCTTGAGTGTCTTTATCCAGCAGCCTTCAAGTCCAGAGAGTGGGTTTTTAGAGAGTTCTAAATTTCTCAAATACTCTACAGTAAATGCAGCTCTAATATTTAAACACATGTTGATCACTTCTCATTACAACTATTTCAGCAGGTGTGCCTATTCCTACTTCTGCAGAGTCTACCTTCCTGAAGCCTCTTGCTGCCAACCTTCCTCCAGGTGGGATTAAAGACACGACTATGCCTTCTTCTTCCAGCAGTGCTTTGGATTTGAATAATCCAAACAAATACTGCAAGCTTTGTCCTGCTTCCTTTAATAGTCCAGTAATGGCCCAACAACATTATGTTGGGAAAAAACACAAAAGAAATGAAGCTAGGAAGACGTTTGTAGACAAGATAAGAGAGAAAGAGAAACCTCTTCCAGCAAAATCAAATGCAAATGGTAAACAGTAAAATTATCCCAAAATTCTTTTATAGGAAGTTTGTATTTTATAAAACATACTAGCTTAGTTATGTATTTATTATTTTACTCTTCTTGAGTGAGAGGTTGATAGTAGTCATAGAATCACAGAATTTTAGATAAGGATTTTCATGTCCACCTAGCTTTATCTGTTTGTTTTCTAGAAAACAAGATCCAGAATTATTTAGATGACCCCTATTAATTTTAGAATAAATATAGTTATTTCTATGATTTTATGTTATCTTAGATGCACAAGGAAGTATGTTAAATTGCTGTCATGTGAGAAAAAATTAGTATCATTTACTAAGTGTGATTTAAGTGTCTCTTGAGGGCTAATCTACTTATTCTTAGGAATACAACTGAGTGTACCATCTTTCCTGAAGGAGCAAGTGTGTAAACTAATTGGGTTAATAAGACTTCATTGGAAGAGGCTACAGACATGGCTTGTGTACATATTTTTTTGTAACTAAAGGAATGAAACATCATGGTCCAGAAAAATCATAGATTTTGATGATTTCATTTTATAGACATGGGAAGGAGAGAGGATGAATAAAAGAGCTTGGAGCTAAGAAAGAATGATAAGAATTGAGGCACAACAGAGACTTATCCTTACTGGAGTGATCCACGCGCTCTTCTAACCATATATTTTTTTTCATTTCCCCCCCACAGGCACCTTCTCACTTCTAGTGTATTTAATTCCCCTTTGCTACTTCTTTTCCTTTACTTACTGTTATTTTCAGATCCTTTCCCTACTAGACCTTTCGGCTTCGTGTGAAAATGCTCATTACTCCTTATTTTTTGAACCTCTATTCTTTGTCATATGTAATGCCTTATACTCTTATACTCTGGTTCTTCTCCTGTGTTTCTGTTTCTCTTCTGTTTTCTTTATGGGATCTATTTGTATTTATTACCCAGACCTAGGTATTCCCATGTTTCCATTCTTGACCTTACTCTACAAACATGATTTAATCTATTACCCTGTTTTCGTCTCTCATCTATACATTTATGATTTTTCTGTCAGTTCTTAGACTCACATATCCAAATGGCAGCTACTGCTTCACCTGGATGCCTCATAGCCATTTCAGACCCACTTATTCTTTCAAAGTAGATACCTGTAATTAACTGTGAACCCCCCACTTTCTATATCACCTGCGACTATTTTATCTCCTGAGTATTACTGTACCCTTCTCTCCAACACTGCTCTTCCCACACTAGTTCAGGTCCTCAACATCTTTCCTAGAAGTTTGCTACTCAAAGTGTGGGTTGTGGACCAGCACCATTGGCTTCACCTGAGAGCTCCTTAGAAAAAACAATCTCAGGCCCCACTGCAGACCAATGGAATCAGAATCTGCAGAATCTGCAGAATCTGCACAAGATCCCTAGGTGATTCGTATTGAATAAATTTTGAGATGCATTATCCTAGAGTATTGCTACGATCTCCTACCTACACTACCTGCCTCCAGTTTTGTCTCCCCAAATTCACCCTCAGTTTAACCACTAGAATGTTTTCACTTTAAATATTTACATGCCCTTACCCTTAAGACCCCTCATTGTTTCACCATCTTCTATAAGTAAAATCTAAGCTCCATAGCTCTCTATTCTCTTGTTTCCGCCTGCCTTCTCTAGGCTTCTTCCCTAGTACTTCTTGCTGTGATTTATGTGAGTCAGTATTTGCATACTGCTTATAGTTTCCATGAACCATTATGCTACTTTTTGTTTCTGTATCCTTGTTCATGCTGCCACTTTGTGTGGAATACCCCATAACCATCTTCTCCTGGCTAACTCCTACTCTTTTTTTTTTTTTTTAATGTACTGCTGCTGCCTGGAAGCCTTTTCACTTCTTTCAAGGCAAATCTTCTGTGCTTCTTTAATCTGCATATCTAATTATCTCTCCACGTGTCTTTATCTCCTGTTAGAGTGTAAGGTGTTTAAGAGAAGGAACATCATTTAACTCATCTATATTTCCAGTGCTAGAGATAGAAACTGGCACAGAAGTAAGCCCACTATAACAGAGATTAGTTTAATATATGAATCAGTGAACTATTAATTAGGCTTTATTTAGTGAGTGCTTACTCACTTTACTCACTTTTTGTACTATTTCATTTTTCCTATTTAATGTGATTCATCATATCCCAAAAAGTTACATAGAAATTAATGTTTTTATCTGGAATTTAAAAGAATGTTGATTTAGGCAATGGTAGAAAGAGAAGTGATAGAGCTTCTGAAAATAGCAGAAGTTTGGTGAAATAACAATCTTCCGTTTTTTAGAGTATTTTTCATATTGCTGGGCTGAGGGTATCTGAATTAAGTAGTTTCTAGCTTAGTGGCATTAGATTTTTTTTTTGAGACAAAGTGTCACTATGTCACGCTTGGTAGAGTGCTATGGCATCACAGCTCACAACAACCTCAAACTCTTGGGCTTAAGCAATTCTCTTGCCTCGGACTCCCGATTAGCTGGGACTATAGGCACCCGCCACAATGCTTGGCTATTTTTTGGTTGCAGTTGTCACTGGTGTTCAGCAGGCTCGGCCCAGGCTTGAACCCACCACCCTTGGTGTATGTGGCTGGGGCCCTACTCACTAAGCTACGGGTGCCGAGTCAAGCATTAGATAAATTTGAATGGGTTAGTTCTGAGAAGCGTGTGCACTCATGTCATTTCTAGAGGGGAAGGTAATTTGACACTCTGGAGTTTCACAATTGTTAGAATGAGGGAAGAAGGATTTGGGTGAGATTTTCACCTGATGATGGAGGAGGGGGATCTTATACGCATCATTTGATTCAGTCACTGAAATTTTACAGCAGCCTCCGAAGCTACAGCTCGAACAAATTTTCAACCCTGTATTGACTATTTCATTTCAAGAGCAGTAAATATTTGAGCAATAAAAACCAGCTGGAGTGGGGCAGCACCTGTGGCTCAGAGAAGTAGGGCACTGGCCCCATATACCGGAGGTGGCGGGTTCAAACCTGGCCCTGGCCAAAAACTACAAAACAAACAAACAAACAACAACAACAAAACAGCTGGAGAATTTAAATTAGCTAATGAGAATTTGAAAGAACCATAATAGCAGAATCCCATATTAAAAATGAGCAAGTGGCAATCAAACAATTTGACATATCACACCTTAAGTATTTCACTCATTTTCTTCTTTTTGTCT